GCAACGCTCCAGCTTTGACTATTTTCTGTTCCACCTTTTTTTTAATTAATTTTAATTAATTAATTTTCTATTTTTTTCGATGACACACCCTACATTTTGTTCTAACTTCACCTTTTTTTTTGTTTTTTTCTGGCTTTGGTCTTTAATTTTTAGTTTCAGCCTTTTTTTTCTTTGAGTCTTTGACGGTGAATTAGAACATATATAAGAGCTTCTTGTTTTCTTTTTTGGTTTTTTAGTTGTTGAACTAAACTAATGCAATCTTGAAGATTCGAGCGGTTGTTTGATCTTCTTCAATGCCATGAGAATCACCGGGAAAAGTACATCTTGTAATCTGTTACACTGTTTGTTGTGATGATATCATTTGTCTACTTTCTATTGCAGGCATTATCCAATTCAATGTATTTTCTTTATACAGATTGAAACTCTTTAAAAGAAACATGAAATGGATGAAAATGAATAGAGTTGTCATTTGAATGATATACTGTATTAATTTATAGAATACGTACCATGAGGATTGGTCTCTACACCGGCTACTCTCTTCTTTTAAAAACTATAAGAATCATTAACATATTATAAAATTAGAAATTTAGTAATTCATGTGAATATGTATGTTTGCAAATCTTGGGTATGGATATCAACCGAGAAAACTATGGATTACGTCTCCTAGTGATCGAAAAGGTTGGTGTGGCTCACAAGATTGAATTTAAAGAAAAAGCCCAACACCCCAGTCTTTTAAGTGTGTAGTTTACTCTTTCTTGATCATATTCATTTGTTACAAATGAATACTATGCTACAATAATAAGCGCATAAAGGAAAAGAAGCACATTGAGGTGAAAATGAGAATCTGTAAATCGATGAGGAAAACAAGATAAGGGAGCCATAGCGCAAGAACCATGTGTTAACATGCATAAAAAAGATTGAAAAATGATAAGAAGCAAAACTAAATAATATATTGATGCATGTAATAAATTGAATTATATATTTCTTGTCAAAGTTATATATGTTAAATTTGTTGCTTCTTGTTGCATTAACGTGTTACTTTTTGTTGTGTTGTGTTTCTTTTTGTTGCATAACTTTACGTATTGTTGCATCGTGTTGTTTATATATTGGTATTTAGAGTTTTGTATTTGATACTTCACTTTGCTACTTATATAGAATAAAAAACTCATACATAAATTTATTTACAATCATCTAAAATGAGAAAATTGAGTTGTGAATATAAAAAAACAGCAAAAAAACACGAAGAAACAATAAAAACCCAAAAAAATTAAAACTCTCAACAAAGTGAAACACAAATAAACAATAGGTAACAAAAAGTAACAATAAAATGATACTAATAATAATATTGCATAATAATAATAATTACATTTTGTAACTATTTGGTAATATATTGGGTCACAAAATTGTTTTTTAACTTTTTTTTCTTTCAAATTTTAGTTTTTTTACGTTATAATTTATTCATGTCATTTTTATTTTTGAGTTTTTATATTTTATATGTTGTTTTGTTTAATAAATTTTATAATTTTTTAAAAAATATCAAGAATTTCTATTTCTATTTTTATTGTATTTTATAATTTTTAATATGATATTTTTAAAATAATTTAATTTTTTATATTTATTTATTTTTAGATTTTTCACTATCTATATATAGTCTGGTTGTTAAAATTTTTAATCTTCCATAAATAATTATAATTTTTTTTTCATTTTTTAATAGTTAAAAACACTTTTTGTCGGAGTTTTTATGTTTTTTCTATATTTTTCAGAGCTTTAAATTTTTTAAACAATTTTAAACTTTTTTACTTTTTATTTTGAGTTTTGTAGTCCTAGAATTTCTAAACGTTTTTAAAACCTTTCAAAGTTATTTTACAAGTTTGTGTATAATTTTAATTTTTTTAAATTTTTTTATAAATTTTTAATTTTGAGAAACTTTCCTGTTTTTATTTGACTTTATTATTTTCTAAGTTTAGGTTTTGTTGTAGTTTTTATTGTAGGGGTACTATTTTTTGTAATTATTATCTCTTTGACTTTTTATTGAATTTTCATATTTAGATTTGATTATAAAAAATCAACAAATTTGAACCTTCTATTAACTTATTAAGGTAGCACCGTAGCATTTTTCAAAAAAAAAAAAAAAAAAGAGGTAACATCGTAGTATGGATAGTAAGAGTCACTAACGTTGTTTTTACCTAAACTGTAATTCGTCCCAGACCAGACTAGACCAAAATAGATCAGACCAGATCAGACCAGACTAAAACAGAGTAGACCAGATTATATTTTATTATTATTATTATTATTATTATTATTATTATTATTATTATTATTATTATTATTATTATTATTATTATTATTATTATTATTATTATTATTATTATTATTATTATTATTATTATTATTATTATTATTATTATTATTATTATTATTATTATTATTATTATTATTATTATTATTATTATTATTATTATTATTATTATTATTATTATTATTATTATTATTATTATTATTATTATTATTATTATTATTATTATTATTATTATTATTATTATTATTATTATTATTATTATTATTATTATTATTATTATTATTATTATTATTATTATTATTATTATTATTATTATTATTATTATTATTATTATTATTATTATTATTATTATTATTATTATTATTATTATTATTATTATTATTATTATTATTATTATTATTATTATTATTATTATTATTATTATTATTATTATTATTATTATTATTATTATTATTATTATTATTATTATTATTATTATTATTATTATTATTATTATTATTATTATTATTATTATTATTATTATTATTATTATTATTATTATTATTATTATTATTATTATTATTATTATTATTATTATTATTATTATTATTATTATTATTATTATTATTATTATTATTATTATTATTATTATTATTATTATTATTATTATTATTATTATTATTATTATTATTATTATTATTATTATTATTATTATTATTATTATTATTATTATTATTATTATTATTATTATTATTATTAAGGGTGTGCACCGGTTCAAAACCAGATCGGACCGTACCGAACCGGACCGGATATCATTCCGGTTCAATCCGGTTCTGGTTTTTCCGGTCCGGTCCGGTCCGATTTTCCGGTTTAAACCGGCTAGTGCACACCCCTAATTATTATTATTATTATTATTATTATTATTATTATTATTATTATTATTATTATTATTATTATTATTATTATTATTATTATTATTATTATTAGGGGTGTGCACCGGTTCAAAACCGGACCGGACCGTACCGAACCGGACCGGATATCATTCTGGTTCGATCCGGTTCTAGTTTTTCCTGTCCGGTTCTGTTCGGTTTAAACCGGCTAGTGCACACCCCTAATTATTATTATTATTATTATTATTATTATTATTATTATTATTATTATTATTATTATTATTAGGGGTGTGCACCGGTTCAAAACCGGACCGGACCATACCGAACCGGACCGGATATCATTCCGGTTCGATCCGGTTCCGGTTTTTCCGGTTCGGTTCGGTCCGGTTTTCTGGTTTAAACCGGATAGTGCACACCCCTAATTATTATTATTATTATTATTATTATTATTATTATTATTATTGTTATTGTTATTATAATTATTGTTATTGTTATTGTTATTATTATTTGTAATTATAAATGAATAAAATATAATTATCTATGGATTATAATATATATAAAAAATGAAATCTTTATGCAAAAAATATAAAAAATAAAATTTCAGACCAGACCAGACCAGATCAGGCCAAAACAGACCAGACCAGACCAGACCAAAACAGACCAGACCAGACTAGACCAACAACTTACAGTCCAAGTAAAAACATCCTAAGATGACTTCCACCGTCCCATTCCAGCGAAGACCTATCCCTCTCACACAGGAGTTAAAAAACGGAAGATCTATTTATTAAATGAAAACCTTAACTAGTCTATTTTTGAAAAGAATTCGGAAGGTCATAAAAAGTGATATTGGGCTTTCTCAAGACACGAATATGACCACTTTTCATTTTTCCAAAAATATGACTTCACTCAATTTTTGAAACCCGTTTAACCGGTAATCACAACTTACTTGTCGGTTACCCACCCATTGAAGAAGAATTAACCGTCTCTGCAAATTCAGCACCGCATTTCTTCTTCGCGCTCTTGCATGTCGACTTTCTTCTCGCTCTTCGATGCCGATTAACAATGGAAGGTAAAGATTCGATTGCTTGATACACGACACCATTTCTTCTCCCCCGTCTATATTCACTGTGTTTCTACTCGGCGATTTCGAATTCGACTTCACCACTCGTCGTGTTTCTCAACTTCGTTCAGCACCTCTTTTCCTACTCGGCTCCTTACTTGAGGTACGCTGTCGATTGTATCTCGTTAGTTTCCACACTCCAATTTCACCAACATTGTATTTTTTTTCAATCTCGTAAGATTACTGCTCTTCTCCTACTGTTTTGATTGCATTTATCTATCGACGGTTTTCAACTGCAACTTGGACTATTGCATGTTATACTATGCTTGTGGTATCTCCTCTTTATTTATATGCACTCATCATTTTGCTCTTAATTTCAATAAAAGTGATGCTTATGGTTCTGTTTGTGTATTTTGTACCTCATTTGATATATTTTTCAGATGGCTGACAGTGCTTCTACATTATCTCCTAGTCCAAGTCTAGCAAAACGCTCATCTTCTCGTTTATCATTGCCACACAAATCAAAATGTGTATGCATTCTTTTGTTTGCTTATTTTCTGTTGTTAAAAGACCAGTACCTACATTATTCCACTATTATGTATATCAAATTCATCTTCTCCTTTTTAATATGTTTGTTTCAGACCTTCAAGAGACTTGTCAGCAAGGATGTTGTTTACATGGACATTAAGAATAGGAGAGTTAATACCTTTTCTAGACTTTATGACTCCATAAACTCTGTTAGGTCTAAACTTCTTCCTCATGAACTTGCTATTTTTGAGAAGTCTGTTTTTGGAAAATTCTTAGCTTCTAAGGAAATGTCATGTTGTGGTCAACTTATACATTACCTTTTAGGGAACATGGTTGAGGTAAGCAACCTTCAGAATGCTTTGTCGTTTGAAATCGAGGGTAGGATCATCTCATTTTCTGTTTCTGATTTCTCCCACATTATGGGCTTTCCTTATGATGAAACTGTCTCTATTGTGCATGATAATGATTCTGAGAGGGGTGATATCTGGAATACATACTTTCCAGACTATAAAACAAAAGTCAAACGTCGGGATATTAAGAGTGTATTTCAGTCCATTCAGAGGGGTAGAGAACTAGAAGAAAACATCGTTAAGCTTTCCTTGTTATATGTTTTGTCCCATGCTTTTTTGGCTTCCGAAGGTCAGGTTTCAATCCATTCAACATACCTTAACCTTGTAGATGATCTAGCTGCTTTTAATTCTTACCCATGGGGCAGAGTCATTTGGGATGACATGGTAGGTTATTTCAAGGCTTCTTTAAAGAGCATTGAATCTAATCCTTCCCATTACAATGTTTACGGTTGTGTCATTGCATTACAAGTGTGGGCTTTTGAGTCATTCCCCGCTCTTAAAGTTATAAATCTAGCTCGTCTAGTAGATCCTTGTTCTGAACCAAGTATACTGAAATGGTCCTCCACTGCAAAGCCATCCAGCGAATCCTTGAAGGATGCAATCTTTTGCAACAAAGGAGTAGGTTTTTCATTTATTCTCTTCTTCTTTTTTGTTGTTATTTTCAAAATCTTGTTTAATATATTTACACTTTCCTTCTTTTTTTTCAGTTTCTTTTCACTCCCATTTCACAATCTGACAGTGTTCGTGAGCTTGACAACCCTCCAAAACCAGTCCCATTGAAGAAAAAAAGGCATGTCAAACGTTCTCATGAATCTGAAGACAGATTTACCCCACCACTACCTGATACTACAACAAGTCCTGATGCCCAAACTCACTTCTCTGATTCTGCTCCTCAAAATAATCAAGCTGCAAGTTCAAGTCAAGCAACAAATTATGAAGCTAGGATTGTGGTGCTTGAGGAAGAAGTTCAAACGTTAAAAAATGAGATATTAGGATTTCATGATAAGTTCAAAGATCTACATATTGTCATTGATAATCTCAAAAGTCTTCTTGAAGCTTCAAAGTCCAAAGTATCTGATACTGGAAAAGGGTCTCCACAGCCGTTTACCAGAGCTCCTGTTGACTCTCATCAAGCTCACCCCTCTGCAATTGAACCTCCCCATGACGTAGAGCAACACAATGAACCTCCCAAAGTATCTGAACCTCCCAATGAAGTGTTGGATGTTACTGATGGTGAAATAATTGTGGATGTTGATGACACCACCAATGTTGGTTGGACGCAGGTAATGATTGAGGCTTTTGAACTCTATGATCCAAAAGTAAGTTCTCTTTGTCACTTTTTTTGTCAATTTACTCAGTGACATCTTTGCAGCCGTTTGATTTATTTTATTTTTGTTCTGTAGCCGCAAGTCTTGCCTACTGTTAATCTGGCATCTTCTTTACCACCTCAAGCCCAGTCAGATACTCCCTTAAACATCCAGGTCCTATTCTTGTAACTTACATAGTATTTCACTATTTTACATGCTTAGTCATTTCATATTTCTAATACGCATGTGATTTGTGGCTTTGTTATTTAATTAATTGTACAAATACTTACACTTATTTACCTCTATTGTACAGGTTTCCCCTTCTAAGACTAGTGCAAATATTTGCTTTGATGCTATACAAGAACCAGGCAGACCGAAACGCAAGGTGCGTTCCCCAATACGTTACACTCCAGGTTCTGATGCTCTTCGCAAAGCTAAGAAGAAGGAACGTTCTGTCCAAGCTATTTGTCCATTCAGCCGTGATCCGTTTGCTGAGTTCAAATCTGAGTCTGAAAGAATTAATTTCTATAATGAAATTATGGAAGGAGTTATTAGAGGTCACCGGTCTTTATGTACAGTGACTAAGTACACATCGGAAATTGATAAAAATTTTCATCTGGATTTGGATTGTGGATTGGAAGTAGAGAGAAAATCTTGGCTCTATCGGCTACATGAACCTGGTCAATGGCTTGATGCCACAGTATGTAACTGTATATCCCTCTGAATGTGTAAATTTATTTGTACTCTATTTCTTCTGTTATACTAACTGTATTTCTATTATTTCAGCATATCCAGAGCATTGATTTTTATCTGCGCCTGAAAGATGCTACATTTAAGTTTCCCCAAAAATTTTCTACTTCCTGCACTTACTTTCCAAGTCATCTTAATGCCCTTTATGATTCTTACAAGTCCGGTTCAGGTGATGTATCAAAAGCAGCCAACGATCAATATGTGATTGATGTTATTGCAGGCGATGAAACTCAATACTTACGTCCGTGGTATGAATGTGACTACATCTACTTTCCATTTAATCTTGTTTCTAAACATTGGGTTCTAGTTGTTCTAGATGTTAGTGCAAACACTCTGTTTGTGTACGATACCAACAACAGACGTGCATCCATTCCAAAATCTTTGCGTACTGAAATGCGCGGTCTCATTCACTATCTTCCTCTCATCTTGTCTCACATGCGGTCTTGTGCCCATGGACGTGTATATGGTGCGGTGCTGTTGGTTCTGCCACTGTTAAAATGGCCCATGACGTCCCACAACAGACCAATGGGTAAGCGGCATATTATCTAATTTAAGTGTTTTGACCTTTTTCAACTCAAAAAACAGATTTTTAAAGCTTTTTTTTCAGGGGAGATTGTGGGCTTTTGGTGATGAAGATTGCTGAAGTACTTCAAATGGACATGGATATCCAGCTTGTGTGCCTCGACAAAGTCCCTTCTTATCGAGCAAAGTGGGCTCATGACCTTTACGTTCATGGCACTTCAATGGGAAAAGCTATAGTTACACATTCATGTGTTGTTTAAGTTTGTTTGTATTGAATACTAAATATGTTCTACAAACTTGTAGTAGTCAAAACTTAACCTCTTTTTGTGACTTTTTGGATTCATTTTGATGTGCCGTACTTATGTACTTCATTACTACTCTTGAATAGTTACTTTGGTTTCATGGTATTGATAAGTACTTTGATTAGTTCTTCTTTTTGTGACTGTGTAATTCTTTGTGTTGTTAATTCTTTTCACAATGACACCATTATTGTACTTCTATATAATTTATATTTTTTACTTTCAAACATAAAAGAAAACAATTCAATTTTGTATCACTGACAATGTCAAAATAGTAATAGTGACACATGATGCAGTGACACATTTGTCAGTTACATGTTGTTGACACTTAAACTGCCACATATTGCAGTGAAACATGTGTTTAGTTACATAATGTTAATGCTTATAGGTTATACTCCTAGTGAAACATTATTCCAGTTAGAACATTGACAGTGACAAATTTTTATAACTACTAGTGACACTTTTTGCAGTGACAACAGTGGTAGTGACAAGGCTCTCTTAGTGACAAACTTCACCAGATGCTTTCATCTTCCAGTTTATTAGTTGTGGCTGCAATTCATATATATCTGCACACACACTTAAAACTACACATTTTTACCAATGATAAACTCAATTTATTATCACTTTTAAAACTACTGAAGTTCAAATCAATTCTGTCCCAAGAGACACACCACACACAGAGATAATGTGAAGTACACATTGTTCATTAAAATACTAACTACATATAACATTGAACATATCATCATCATCATCATCTCAATCCTTAGTGACGTGGTATCGGGTTGTTGCACGTCTTTTGATTGTGTCCATTTTGTTTACATCTTCCACACCTTTGCCGTGTAACAAACTCACCAATTGAAGGAATCCTTTTATTCTTAGGTCTTCCAGCTGACCGTTTCTTTGATATTGGTGGGTAAATAATCCGATTTCTTACTTCACTAGGGACATCTGCTTCACAATACTCACCTAGTGGTTCTATGACTCCTGCATAAGCTTCCAACCATACGCTATTCTTGTAATATGTTGAAATGTGGTCATAGCAAGATAATCCAGTCCTTGACCTAATGGATGTCACTGCATGAGCACACACAAAGTCCTCCAATTGAAACTCTCTACAAGTACATTCTCTGGACTCAAGGTCAACCACAAATGCCCTACACCTTTGATCTATCACTTCATACTTAAAAATAGTGCTTGGTCTTACCTGTAAAAAATACAAAACAATCATATAAGTGGTTATATATGAATCCAATATAATTTTAACAATTATAAATCACAATACACTTCACTGCCATAAAAACAGTGTAACTGAATTCAAAAGACCAATATTATAAGCTTTTATTAATAAAATTTTACTCACAATCATGCCGGCAGAATCTCTTAGCAAATTTACAAGCACAACTTCTACTTTTGGGGATAAAGTTGCTGCATTTTCTGTGGCTTCTTTTCTTCTGTCATGAAACCATGTTTGCAATTTTAGTCTCAGAAACTCAACCAAAATGGATATCGGGTACTCCCTAGCAGTGGCATCCACATTATTGAGGGACTCTGCATTATTGGATGTCACTATTGAGTACCTCCTTCTTGTCATTTTACATCTAGCCCATTTTTCACAACCGATTTCAGCTAGATATTGTTGAATCCTTGGGTCTTCAAAGTCCAGTAACTTCATAAAGTATTCATACTTTCTGCTTGTTGTGACCTAGCAGCAGCATTGAAAAACTTTATAACATTTTTCTTTTTCCCACCTAGCTTTGAAGTTATATTTCCAAGTATGTGTTGCACACAATACCCATGATGAACACCAGGATATACCACTTTCACAGCACTAATAAGACCTTCGTTTCTATCTGATACAAAGCACATCTCTTCTCTTTCTCCAATTGATTCTTTAAGTTTAGTAAAGAACCACAACCATGATTCTTTGTTCTCCTTTTCACACACTCCAAATGCTATTGGAAACAAATGTCGGTTTGCATCAAGAGCACATGCAGAAAGAATTGTCCCACGATATTTTGCTTTTAAAAATGATCCATCTACACTAAGTATTGGCCTACAAGCAAGCCACCCTTTTCTACTTGCTCCCAGTGACATAAACAAGTTCTTGAAATTATTCTGAGAATCCGAATTGAGAGATATAATAGATCCTGGGGTTTCTTGGTCCATTATATGACATAACATCGGCAATTTCATGTATGACTCTTTATCAGTTCCCGATATTGATGTCAAAGCCTTTTCCTTAGCTCTCCACGCTTTCTTGTAATTCACATTAACTCCCAATTTCCAATTTAAGTCTGCCATTATGGCTTTTGGTTGATATGGTTTTCGGGAGGCATCTAGGTATTGGTGCTTGATCATTTTTCCAATTATCAATGCACTGGCTTGCCTATTCCCACTCAGCCCACTATCAATTGAGCACCTGTGTACGTTATCAAACCTGTAACAAATGAAAATTTATTTAACACATTAGTATTGATTGTTCACCTAAAAACAAAATACTTTTAATATATAGTGACACAAGATTTGATGTAATTGCAACATGTTGTCACTGAAACATACCTTCTCACTTCAAAACAGTCACTTTTATTCATTCTCACCCCACGTACAGCCCATTTGCACTTTTCTTCATAGCAAATAACATGAATAACATCAGGATTTGAGGTTTTGGTCTTGAACTGGAATTTGTTATGAAGTGCATAGAGTTGCAAAGTCTCCTTTAAGCTTTCTTTGTTTGGATATATTCCATTGATCCTTAATGTTGTATCAATAGCTTCCATGTCACCACTTCCTCCCCCACCCAACCATGTCAACAACGGTGTGTCTGTGGTTGAACATTGCTGATAAGTCATTGCATATTCATCCAACACCTCCTCATTATTACATCCACCCACTGTAGGAGTCACATTTGTTGTACTGATTCTTTCTTCTGAATCTGCTACTCTTATGTTAGTGTCACATACCCCTTCCATGTCACTTTTGCTATTTATTTGCACACACAAAGGGTATTTTGATACTTGTGTACAATCAACACCTTTAAGATGCAAATAAAACTGTAAACTACTGTCACTGTCAATCTGTGTTGGATCAAAATCTTTATCTATTTGGTATGAGATACAGTTGATAGTGACATCTGGCTCAAGATTCAAAGCATCTTGTAAATCCTTAACCAATTCATTATATGATGACTTTGCATTTACCAGAACTCCATGGGTTGATCTTGCTACAAATTTCTTCTTAACGTTCCAGTGGCCATCTAACATTACTGTGGCCATAACTTTCTCCATTTTAAACAAAACAATAGGGTAAATGGAGTTTATCTTCATGGGAGAGATGTGTGGACTTTTGTTCCACACAATAGGGACTCTCAATTGATGAAGAGGATTGCTTTGATCCGAGACTCCATGGTATCTAAATACCCTTCTATACCCGAGATCATTATCAACCTTGGAAAGATGGCTCACAATGGTAAGCTTTCTTCTTCAAAGGTATATGACCTTCTTAGGATGAAAGGGACTACCCATGCATGGATGGCTTTCTTTTGGAAAGCCTATATCCCACCCAAGTTTTCTTTCATTATGTGGCTAGCCTATCGTAATAGGCTACCTACATATGATAATATGGTTTATCTTGATATTGTTAATGTCTGTCCATTTTGTAAGGGTGGTCCGGAGACGGTACCACACCTATTTTTTGAATGTGTTTGTACAGGGCAGATTTGGGAGAGTATAAAAGGATGGCTTGGAATCTCTAGGCAAATGTCTTCGTTGAGGAGTGCGGTGAAATGGATTTCAAGAGATTGCAACGGAGCACACATTAGAGCAAAAGCTACAAGGATAGCGTTCAGCTATACAATCTATTGGATATGGAGGACTAGAAATGCGATTCGATTTGATGGAGCATCGCCAAAGATGGATGATACAATTGCGCACATCAAGTATATGGTGTACAAAGTGTTATATTCGCTATATCCGTATCATATGATACCGTTTTGAACTATAAACTAGCCTATTTTTTGTCATGAGGTGATGGCTATTATTTTGCTAGAGGATAGTAGTTAGAGGATAAGCTCTACAGCTTTTGAAGTTATAGGGTATCCATGTTTGGATATGCCTCAAATTTTGCTCATACGATGTACATAAACTTGGTTACTATCTATATATTTACATGTTCCCAAAAAAAAAAAAACAATAGCATCCAATTTTTTCACTTCACCTGAAAAGATAACATCCAAGTTCAATGATAGAACATACTATGAAACTAACTAAGTCCTTAGTTACATTCATGATATCATCACCATTACTCTTACACTGCAGTTACTACATGCCTAGCAGTTACTAAAATCAAATATAAAGTTCAGTAAGCTCAATACAGTTCGCAGTTACATTACGGTGTCACTACAGAGTTCCAAATCAAAATTCTATCAACTTATTTCAAATAAAATTCTGAAGGAACTGCAAGCAAATTTCATTGAATACATTAGGCATTTTGCAGTTACACTTTTATGATTACATGTATTACATCTATACAGTTCTACATGTATTACATGTATTATATCAATCAGATGAATTGAAATTGAAATTCAGAAAACAGTAAACACAACATCAAATTTTGAATACGGTTCATGTACTCGGTTCTACATCAATCACTGCAAACACAACACAGTTTCCAGTTACACGATGCTAAACAAACTTTAATTCAAATGAATTTTTTCAAATCGAAATTCAGAAGGAAAGTTATGAAAGATTCAACGAAAATATGAAATATTATGTTCGCAGTTACAATTGTCAGATCATCTCTATGTTCGCAGAAGTGTTGATGTCCAGTTATCAAATTCGAACTGATTAACGAATAAGTTAGACATCAAAATTACCTATGCGAGTCTGCGATGATCTTCGGTTTCCTTGTT